TGGTGATGGTGATTACAGTAACACTGACTATTAAGGTGACAGCTTATGGCTATTGAACTCTTTTGGGTTGTAGGAGCTATGCTAAGTTATCTACAGAAATCCTCCCATTTCATTTTCACACAGTTGATAAAAGGGACCAATGTCTTCACCCATTCAAAAATGAGCAAACTGAGGCAAAGGTTGACCATCTCTTTTATAGAAGTTTTAATAAATGGGACAAGTACAGATTTGGTTCAAAGAGACACTAAACTACTCCTTCCTAAAGAGTTCTATAAATCTCAAGGGTCTAATTAGTCAACTTTGATAGACATCTTACAAAATTAAATGAAGCAAGAGTTTTGCCTAATTGACTGCCTTCCAGAATAAGGCCTCTGAAGAAAGCCACTGCCCTGTGCTACCCAGGGAGCTCACAGGCCCCAACACAATGCTGCAGTGTCCTCCTCTGTACAGTGGGAAAGAGAAACACATCTGACCTCGGAAGGTTCTTGTGAAGACTAAGGGACGCGTGCAAAGTATCAGCTGTGGTGATTGACCTGTGCTCCTCCCTAAATGGCCTCGCTGTTGACCATAGATGCCATGAGACTGTCAACCGCAGTGGACAGGGCTGGAGTTAGGACTCGGCATATTTAAAAGCTTCCTGGCAATTGAAATACATCCTGACCCCACCCCTCATCCATATGTGTATTCATGTGCTTGACCCTTCATTCATCAGTTCCCTGTTCTGTTTGGGGTTCTGGGGTGCTTACTGCTGGGGCCGAGACTCCTGTCTGCTGAACAAGTCACCCTGAGCACAGGCATCAGGCATCCCTGCAGTCGCTGGAGCAACGGGACCCAAATCCTCAGTGTCCTCCAAGGTCCACGCTCCTTGTCCAAATTTCCTGCCATAAGACTCGACGTCCAATCTCTGGACTTTGGGTGTGGCCACTGGACTTGCTTTGGAAAGGAGGAGATTGGCAGGCGTGAATGTGACAGCGCAGAGAGTTGAAATCTGCGGTGACATTCAGCATTCCTTCTGAGCCTCCAACATGGCCGAAAAAAGAGCTTCGGCCGGTATCTACCACCGGGTCAGTGTGTGACCCAGAATAAACACGCATGGGGCAGAGGTCACACAGGGGACCCACAGGCCAGGGGCAGAGCCTAGAGCTGCCCCACCCAGCCCAGCCCGAGGCAAGAATCCTCCACTTGACCTGCATCCCGAGGGCCACACGCAGGCTTCTCAGAGCCGGGGTTACCCACGAGAACAGGACCAGGGACTGGGAAGGTAAGGAGGCCCTCCAGGGATCCCGAGGATCGGGACTGTTGTGCTTGAGGGTAAAACAGACCCATTTAGAATGCTGCCGCAGGGGAGAACAGGGCTGAACTCTGGGAAGAGAGAGGGGATGGAGAGCCAGGAGGAACGCACACTCCGTTCAGACCACGCCCTCCTGTGGCCCGGCCTCTGTCCGTCCAACGTCACGATGACTGCGCGGTTGGCAGGTCTCCTCTCAACTTCGGGCAGCACAGCACATTCTGTGATCAGGTAGAGCCGCCCCTGCCCTTGGGGGCTGCGGCCCTCTGCCTGAGCCTTCGTAGCCCCCTGCTCCTGGGCACATTTCTGGTGCTGACCCTCTCCTGTCGACTTGACTTTTCCTGACTTGGTGTTAGCGATTCAGGAAGGAATCATGGATCCCGTGGCAGGACTCCAAGGCCAGGCCTGGCCCACGCGGTGAGATCACCAGGCGGTGAGCAGGGAGAGCTTCTGCAGACAGCCACCCCCCGGGCCACGTGGTCATAATGCCCCGCTTCCCGTGGCCTGCAGCCTGGGGGGCTGGAGCTGCCGTTGCTTTTGTGTGTTGGGCAGTGAAGGGACCGGGCGTACAGAGAGCCCCTGGGACCAGGCTTTCTCTGGAGCTTGCCTCTTCTCATTCCTCCACGGGACAATGCGGAGAGAGCCACATGTTAGTTCACCACGAATCACCCTTGGTACAAGTGCTGGGTTCTGGAGAGTCCCTTACCCAAACATCACGGGAACCCTTCCTCTGGAATTTGGAAATTGGGACGGAGGCAGCTCAGTTCTATGTGTCTGAGAGCAGCATCCAGTCCCAGCTCTGCCAACACGTGAGGTCACAGGATTCTGTTTTGAAGTGGACATGAAAGGGCCTGGACGCGGTGTCTGTAGAGTTGGCCAGCTCCCTTGATCCCTGGCCTCGGTCTGCTAGAAGCAAGTAGCAAACAATCCCCCAGTCCTGGCCGCTGGAAACACCTGCAGATGTTGCCAAGTGTCCCCCAGAGGACAAAAAGGACCCTGTGCCACTGAGAAGCACCTCTCTAGGAAGAGGACCTGTGGTTCCCTGTCAAGGCCCCGACGTTTGTTCAGCTCCTTGCTCATTCACGGGGAGATGCTTGTGCATCCTTAAAGTGATTTCCCTTTTTAAACACAGTTACCTAGAATTGGTCTCCAGTCACCTGGGTGCACGCACGGCGTGAGAGGCCCTTCACAGATACCCCTAGTGAGCAGACCCCTTGCCCCAAGACCCACTGCCAGGTCGATCAGAAACCAGTGCGAAAGTCTCAGGTCCCCCGAGCGAGGGGTCCTGCAGGGTCTTACCATCACCCACAAACTGCAGCAGGGCCAGGTCGATCTGCCTCTTCCAGGGCGAGCCCTTCTGGAGGGCGATGCCGTAGCCAGTGGTGGCGAAGATGTACCCACTCCCGATGGTCACCAGCTTGCAGCCCTCGTCTCTCCCGGCCTTGTAATTCAAGACCGCGGCGTCGTAGATGAAAGCGTCCAGCTTCCTGAAATGACAAGAGACCAGGCAGTCATGGGGTGGCCGGGACCCTCCCAGGGCCCGCTCCCGAGGCCCGAGCCAGCACCCCACAGGCAGGAGCTGATGACTCACGCTGTTCCATCCCCTCGTCATAAAAGGATCTATTTTTAATGAAGAGATAAAAGCCAGAACCTTCTCTCCCCAACTTTCAAGAGGCAGCTAAATAAAGACCCGAGGAGTCTGTGTACCCAGTGAGTAAACAGGCAGGTTGGCAGGTTTTCTAAGGGTTGGTCCTTTGCACCTCCCCACGGGGAGAGCGGTGGCCTGTTTAGAAAGACTGGCACCACAGCACAGCCGGCCACCGAGGACCGGAGACTCTGGCAGCCGCAAGGGATGGGGCCAAAGAGGAATGGAAACCTTTCCTCCCAAGATAAATATACTTACTTTGAAGGATGTCACAGAAATTAATCACCACAGAGGAATTTTAAAACTCCAAATGATATAGAAAAGTACTAATAATACAATTAAAATTAAAATTCTTCCATTAACAAAGTAAATAGGTTGCAAAATTCCATAACTCATGATTTTATAACTCAAAGATGACCTCTGCTGACATAGTTTTGGGCTGTCTTCCAAGGTTTTTATGCACACACGCACACGCGCACACCACACAGGGGTCGGCACACTGTTAATGTAGAGACAATCTAATAGGCAGCTTGGACCCTGACGCTCTCGCTGTGTTAGCGGCAGTGACTTGGCGAGGCTGTAATAGGGTGTCCCCTCCTTCCAGAAAACAGTCAGGTGTTGAAGCCCTGATCCCCAGATGTGACCTTGCGGAGACAAGATCACTCAGATGTAAGTAGTGAAGAGGAGGAGATGCTGGGGTAGGAGGGACCCCCATCCGTGTGACAGATGTCTCTACAAACAAGAGAAAACCTGGCCATGACAGCTGCAGGAAGACCAGAGCTCTGTGGCCCCGAGCCAGGAGCCACCAGGTCCAGGGGGAACTGGAGCAGCTCCTGCCCCCACACCCACCGAGGGGTGCAGCCCCGCGACACCCCACCTGGGACTCGCGGCCTCCTGAACCGTGAGAAGGTAGACTTCTGGTGTGAGAGCATGGGCTTGAGCTACTTTGTTACGGCAGCCTCAGGAAAGGAAGACACAACCCCACGGCGGACAGAGAACACAGACCGGTGGGCCCAGCTGGCCCCAGTGCGCCTCTGTTTACAGAGGTTGTCCATGGGCCCTAGTGGGCCAACCCTTGTTTGTAGCCCCTAAAACCAGATGATCCCATTCAAACTCTTCCCTAAATGGTTTTCTTTTCTCATGTCACACAGACTCAGTGTAGATCCAGGTCCACAATCAGCACTTGTTTTTTTATTCTTTTTAAACATCTCTCTCTCTATGGCCCATATGCAATCAAGTGCTCAATAGTCTTGACATTTGTTTAGCTTTAAAGTTACCATAGAGCTCAACATTGAGGGCATCCCTTTACTTCAAAAGTCCTGCCTACCCCGGCCGGGGCTGGCTCAGTGGCAGAGCGCTTGCCCAGCATGTGGGGGCACTGGGTTGGAGCCTCAGCACCACAGATAGATAATAAATAAAGGCCCATCCACAGTGAAGAGATGTCTGTGCAAAGCCTTGCCCTCCTCAGGCCCAGCCTTCCTGACAGCAGGCCTCACCCGACCTTGTCAGACGCAGGGCCGCGCCTCCACCTGGACGATGTCCATGTATCAAGGCTACTCAGCAAGGCTGGGCGACACCCGGAACACAGAGCCGGTGTCTCCACCCCAGGGTAGGCAGGAACACGGAATCGGAGCTGCCCAGCCTCCGACATACTCTCCATTTCTTGACTTTTTCTCTTTAACAAGGAACCGTAAGACAGTGAAGCCAAGAAGGAGCAGAGGTCTGGGAAAGGGGGGGAGTGTGCTTTCCGGGACCCCCTGTGGGAAGGCCGGCGGCCTCCTTCTTCCTCTGCACCTCTCTCGTCTTTGTAACGGTCACAGGTCGGGAAAACCACAGGGAAGCCACCTTTCCGGACACCAGCCACAGGGAAACCGGGGACCGTGGGACGGAGAGCGGCTCCAGACAGCATCCGTCTGAGCCGACGGCGGTCGGGCTGTGGCAGGAGCACTCCCGTGGTCAGTAGGAAGGACCCGAGTCCAGGCCAGGCTTGGGGGACGGCCTGGCTCAGGGAAGCCACTGCTTCCCTTTGGACTGCTGGTTCCTCGTCCGTGACATGAGGTGGCCCTGGGGGTCCTGCTGAAATCCGTGTCCAGCGCAGGCGCTCTATGATTCTAGCGGCCATCAGTAGACGCTCTGGGTGACACCTGTACCCTGAGGACTTGAGGTCATGGACGGTTTCTGTCCTCCTGATGAGGCTCAGGTGCTTGGGATGTCAAGAGCTCACACACGAAGCTGCCGTGGAGCTGCGAGAACTCTGCTTCATGAAGACGTCCAAGTCCCAGCAAACCCTCTTATCTCGAGTCCTCAAAAACTCCGCGTCAACACACACACACACACCACACACCACGCACACGCGTGTGCAGGGAACACTCAAACACGGAGGCCGTCAGTGGCATTCGCGGGATGACCTCTCCGCACCGCGCTGAAGGCCCACCTGCCAACCCTGGGGCAGAAACACATTTCTGCACATCAGACCCACAGTTCATGAGGAATCTTATTCTGCTGAGCAACAAAGAGTCAGATGAGCAGAAAGAAAAAAAATAGATTTTCTTCAGGAACAAAAGTTTGCAAAAGCATGTCCCTGTCAACCCAGAGGCAGGACAATGAACTGTAAAAGTCAAGTCGATTTTGACCAAGGCCACTGCACATCGGGTACCGGGGCTGACCTGGTGGACGTCCTGTCAGGCCTGTGGCCCCAGAGAGCCACCGAGGGGCCTGCGTTGTGGCCTGACCCCTGTGGTCCTGGGGCCCTGTCAGAACTAAGGTAGGTTCACCATGAGACTGCAGGGTCCTGTGAGCTGGGTGTCACTTTTCACCCAGGATTCTAGAGAGCTGGGGTCTAGACACAGTGGCCTCAGATACTTGTGTGTGTAAAACAGCCCTCTGACGGAGAAGGCCACTGTCCACGGTGCAAGGAGTGCACATGTCATCCTCCGGAGGCCTCAACCCACCCACCGGGCAGATAGTATCATTTTCCTAGTTGTCCTATGAGCAAAGTTCTCAGTCGGCTTGGAGTTCATTGGGGACATTTCCAAACTGCCCAACCAAGCCCTCCCGGACAGCACTGGCCCTTGGAGCCTGAGCCATTGATGGGAAGGCTCAGCATCTCCACTCCCCAAAGTGGAAAACGAGCCTTTGAAATGTGGTGAGTGCTGCTGAGAAACTGAGTTTTTAATTTTGCTGAATTTCACTCATTTGGATTCTGACAGAAATGGCCAGGTACGGCCGGGGCCACGGCAGGCAGGGGCAGCGGAGGAGCAGGACTCGAGGTCCCCCTCCTTGTTCTTGACCCAAAAGATTTACTTTTGATCTGTTTCCAGTTGGAAAAAAATTGTTCCTGTTGTTAAAAAGGCAAAATTGAAAACTGCTGACGCTCTAGAAAGAGCGCTTTGTAAGGCAGAGACGTGGGTCAAGGCAGCTGCTCGTCTGAGCCCGTTTTCCTTCTGCAAAACGAAGCTGACAATCTCTGCCCTCAGAGGGCTGTGGGCCCTCCGAGTGAGGTTATGTAAGTCAAGTGTGCGGGCCGCGGCGGGACACAACCAGCGCTCGAAAGGCACACACATGTGTCCAATCAAATCCGAGCTCACGGCAAAGGCTCACAGATTCACGTATCTGATGTCATCGATCCAGTCCCCAACGCGTCACAGGATCACGTCACTCTATTTATTCCTTCTAAGTGCACAGGGGGCGTGCTCTCCCGACTGTCTGACGGGGAAACCGAGGCATTCAGCATCAAGAGCACTCAACAGCCTCCAAGTATTGGACTTAGCAGGTGCCAAAAGCCACAAAGGTGACACGATGACCAGGTCATGTCACCCACAGGACTTGTGGAAGAGATCCGGCAGCCGTGTGGACTGCGCAGCAAGTTCAGATGCAGGTGGCAGCTGTCCATCAAGGGGCGGAGTCGGGAGTCGGCGGTGGCTCAGCTTCTCTCCCAACAGACGCACAGCCCAGAGGGTCTGGCGCTACCTCCGCAGTGCCCCCTCTTGTCCCCGGCCCACCCCACCCCAGGCTCCAGGGGACCCTGGGCATGAGTGCTGGAGTTTCTTGTCGAAGGCAGAGGGTGGGACGGGGAAAGGCCACCAGAAACCGAAGCCCCATGTGGACCTAAAGCTGTTGGGGACTTGAGCTGTGGCTGGCAGAGACACAGTGACATGCCAGGCAGCAGCGTGGTAACTGGCGGCGGGGCTAAGAGAAACCCAGACCAAAGGCCAGCACCGGAGGGACCGGCCTTCAGAACCCAGCAGCCTGGGAAGGCAGGGGAGCTGGCGGGTGAGGGAGCCCAGTTCCGTTCTCGATGGACGTGTCCTGCTTCTTCATCTTCTTCTGCCTTCCCAGGTAAGTGTCCCTCCCACTGGGCAGGAGGAGGCTCAAGGGCCAGGGTCTGCCTGGGATGGGACAGGGCTCCTACCCGGCACCCTGCAGTCAGCACCGCGTCTCCACCGCCACCCCCAAGGCCAACCCTCTTGCCCAGCCTCAGGGACACAGAAAAGAGCCCCTACTTCCCAACTCAGGGGAAGGGGCCTCACTGCAGCCACAGGAATGCCGAGCTGCGTGACACCGGGTCCCCGGCAGACATCACACAGGCTGTGTGGGCCGTCACCCTCTGTCATCAGCGGTCCTCAAGGAAGCCCCGTGATTAGAGATGACGATAATTCAGAGTGAGAGGGGGAAATGAGACCTCGTGTCTGGAAATTTGCAAAGAAGCAAAGCCAGGAGGGGTGTCTTGTGGCCTCCTGCCGCCCGAACCTGGAGCTCTGGAGAGCTGCTACCGCTTCCTTAGTCTGCGTGTCTGACCTTGTTACTTAACAGGCACAAGTCCCTCCTGGCCTGAGGACGCCC